TCTACAAATTTACAGGTCCAGAAATCTTCTGTTTTAGCTTCACATGCTTCCCAGTCTATGGATTTCAAGTTGAAGTCGCCGACTATCAACAGTCGTGAACTATCGTTATCCGCTCTCGCTATGATCTCTCTCATTATTGTTATAAGACCTTCTCGTTTACTATCTAGCTCCTCCTTTGACCATGTGCTGCTTAACGGTGGACTATATGCATTTATGATCATTAGTTTATCATCCTCATGGCAGATCTCTAGTGCTATTATGTCAACTTCTTGTGGATTGGCAGTCACTATTTCGTTCACCTTTAGGTGTTCTTTCACCAGCACAGCAACGCCACTGCCTTTTCTGATTTTTCTGTCCCGTCTCCAAATTGAGTAGCCCCTTGGGAATATGACCTCATTTAAAATAGCATCTTCAAGTTTTGTCTCCGTGAGTGCAACAATTTCTGATTACTTTCTTTCAATTTACTAATTATTTCTACATGAGAGGTCACAATAGTATCTAATTTTACGACCTTGTTGTATAGACTGGTTATCTCAATGCTTTCTTCACTGAATCCAGCAAAATCAAGCTCTGTTTTGTATTTCCTCTTGCAGGCGGCCATCTTGAATGTTGTTCTCTGCACTGTAAACACTAGGGGTAACTTTTTCTCATCTACTATTTCACTTCCCTTGGCACATTCCTGTTATCTCACCTATTTTTCAAAAGCACTATACCTTTATGTTCTCTGGGACACCACTCACTATCATCATCCTGTACTACAATACTTAGGATTATTGAAATATGCTGGAGCTCCTCTTGTCTGCCTCTTGGGAAAGAACTTGGGATAGGAAAGAACTTGGGATAGGTGTCCGTCAGTTGAGAAGAGATTCAGGTATTCTTGAAAATATCTATGGAAAACACCACCATGGAAGCCGCTAACACTGTTCATCTATGCTATTTGTATCAGATGCATCATCATTGAACGCAGAAAACGATTCATCTAAGTATCATCTAAATAAATAGCATAGGATTGCAAGGGTGATGCTCAGAGCTACAACTGGATACGCTCGCTGTATCGTCCTCATAGGTGCTGTATCACTTGCATCCAACCTTTGTGTTAGGTCCTTATTGCGCCTGGCTTCCCCAATATTATGACCCTTATGTTCTTCAAACAATAAGGTTTGAATTTCACCGACAGAGCATTATCTTTCAACACCGCGTCGGACAGGTGTTTGGGAGCCAGAGGCGCGTGCGCCACCCACAGTTACTCACTCGGTACTAACCCAGCCAGCAGCCCTAGGGCATTCTGGGATTTTTTCCAAGATGGCTGCCTCTCACTGGAGGTCCCAAGAGTCCATTTCGTACACAACCAACCTCGTACACATTTAGAATTGGTTATGAAAACTCGGTTGGCGCAGTTAAGTGGTTAAAGTGTACAAGGCGCGACTGAATGTGATGTGGAAGTCCAATAAGAAATCCTGGGTCACGCAGATATTCTTCACTGAATGGGTCAATGATGTTTTTGGCCCTTCAGTGAGGAAATATCTTGAAGAGAAGCAGTTGCCACTCAAGGTCTTGCTTGTGCTCGATAATGCTCCTGCACATCCTCCACAGATGCAAGAGAAATTGTTTCCCGAAAATCAGTTTATCACCATCAAGTTTCTTCCTCCCAATACCACTCCACCACTCTAACCTATGGACCAGAAAGTCATTGCAAACTTTAAGAAGCTTTACATGAAGGCCTTGTTGGAGAGGTGTGTGGATGTGATAGACAATACAGAACTGACCCTCAAAGAATTCTGGAAGAACCACTTCAATATCCTGGGTGCCTTACGTTTGATCGATAAGGCCTGGGAAGGAGTGACACGGAGGACCCTTACCTCTGCATGGCGTAACCTGTGGCCTGAAAGTGTCCCTGAGCGAGACTTTGAAGGTTTCGGTCCTGCACTTGCATCTGTAATCTGCATCTGTGGAAGACCCGGAAGAGCATCTAGTGGATGATATTGTTGCTCTGGGGCAAACTTTGGGTCTGGAGTTGGATGCTGCTGATGTGCAGGAGTTAGTGGAGGAGCACAGTGAGGAACTGACCACTGAGAAACTCCTGGAACTTCAGAAGGAGCTTAATCAAGAGGAGGCACAAGAGCTCTCATCAGGGGAGGAGGAGGTAGGGGAGGATGCCGCTGCCTCTTCAATTGAGATCAGGGAAGTGTTGGGAATGTTTGAAAAGGTGACCGCATTCTTAGAAAAACATCACCCCTGATAAAGCAGTGACAACCCGATGTGTGAACAGGTTTAATGACAATTTGCTGTCTCGTTTTAGGAACATCCTAAAACAAAGACAAAGGCAATTGTCAATAGACTCGTTCTTTGCAAAAGTAGAGAAGAAAAGAGCCAGTGATAGTGAACCACAACCCAGTCCCAGTGGGGTGAAATTTCCAAGAGAGAGCCTGCCTGACTCAGAGGAGGATTCTCCTTCCACACCATAACCCCTCTCCTCCTTCCCACCTCCCCATCATCTCCCTCAAGCCAGCAATGACTCTTCATAAGGTAAAGTAAACATGAAAACAGTACAACAAAACGTTTATAATTACATGTGCAGTATTATATTTACATTAACCCTTAAGTTGCACAACACATCATATAATGGGTTGAGTGACTTGCTATAAAATGCGCATCCCATCATATGATGTATTGGAGTACTACGCAAGATTTAAACAGCCCGCGGATACACGGGGTTCACCTCGCCTTCATCAGGGCTCTTGTAAACAGTTGCCATTTAAAAAAAAAATTGTGGGCCAAATTCCCGGGTGTGAGGGGCCTCAGTATTGAGTGAGCCACGAAGCCTGACGCACGCAGCATGAGTTCACAGCACTGCTGTTCAGCTTGTGACCACAACATTGCCTAAAAATGCCATAATATACATGTTCATGCTATTATTTAGCGATGATATTATTACAGAAAACCCCTGACTGTGATAAAAATGACCAGGATTCTAATAATAGCAGTATTGTTGTGATAATTAGCACTGTAGTGGGAAGAGTAATCTTGATGGGGAGAGAGGTAGCATTGTCTGCTGACTCTGTGTGACCCTCTTTTGCTGCCTGGACTCACTATACCAGCTTAGTTGTTCGCTATGGTAAACAAAACATGCAGATACTTATATATATAACGTCTGTATATAAAAGCAAAAACAGTATGGTGGGAGAAGAATGGTGGCGAGTCAGGTGAGGGGAGGGAGGGAGGGAGTGACAGCCAGTGGCAGGCTGCCACTCCCTACAGAGTATATAGGGTAATAACACCACAAACAGTATTGTTGGGGGTGAAATTTTAGTGCGTCTGACCTTGAATGTGTGAGGGAAGCAGCCGCCAGCTGACTGTGTGTAGCGACGTCTCTTAGTGCCTGAACTAACTATATCAACTTAGTTGTACAGTTGTGGTGAACAAAATGTGTAGATACTTATATATAATGTCTATAGTGAATAAAAGCAAAAGCAGTATTGTGGGAGGAGAATGTGAGTGAGTCAGGTGAAGTGAGGGAGGGGAGGAAGTAGCAGCCAGTGACAGGCTGCCATTGGCTGCCACTGCCACTCAGTATGCCAACTTAGTGGTTCGTTATGGTGAACACGAATGTAGATAGGTATATACAATGTGTGTATATAATGTAACAACAGCAAAATCAGTTTGATCGTAGACTATAATATACATGTTACAAATATGAACCCCATAATTTTGAGCATAGTGATGTTCCGCACATTGAACTATATAAATTCCACAAATTACAGACTTTTGAATAATATTACAGCAAAATATCAGAGAACATATGAATGAGAAACATCAAAATAATTGTGAAACATTATATTCATGGCAACTACCGGCCCACGGGGTGGCGGGGCCTAGTGACCTTGAGCGCTCCATCCCTCGGCACCCATAATTTGCTCAACTTCCCAGTTCCATCGCAGCTAAAGTATGACACATACAATATTTTTTTATAGATTCCCGTGATCAGAGACTGCATTTTAACAATATAAGAAGAGGAAATAATTTTTTGGAAAGAATTTATTTTCAGAACACCACACTATTTGTCATATTTTAATGCAGAGCAGTGCAGTGATTAATCTCTCCCAGAGTCTCCTCATGAGAGAAGAAAAACGTTAATGGGGAAACCAAGGTATCTGTAAGAATCGCAGCTCTCAAGTGCACGCCAATCTATATGATAATTGAGTGGTGGAATACCACGTGAAATTAGAGCACGAGTTTTCTATACAGAGATAAGGAGTCCACATTCCTCAGCTCTAGTAGCAAAAGCATTGAGCAGAACTTGCATTTTAGGCAGCCTGTAAACATGTATCAGCATAACAAATGACCGTATCTATATTATTAGTTGGAAAATCTGTAATATGTTTATGCATTAGAACAAGGGGCTGAGGATCCCTCCTTGTGGAGTTGCCAGTTCAAAATGTTTACTCTGTGCTTTTAATACCATTAAACAAAACATGTGCTGTTTGATTAGACAAATAGGCCTTTATCAATTTCAGTAATTTTCCTTGTATTCCTAGCTCAGCAAACTGTTCTAGTATGATTTCTCTGTTTGCTGTATCAAAAGCTGTTGCTAGGTCGATGAAGACTGCTTGAGGGGAGGGTTCAATATGAGCAAAGTATTCAGCAAAACAGTGTTGTGTACTGAGCCAGGTATAAATCCAAAGAGTTGGGGTGACAGGTGCCCCTGTATGCGAAACATGAGTCAGTTAAGGACAATGCGTTCAAGCACTTTACAAACACACAATGTTAGAGATATTGGTCTATAATTATCTGAGTGTGGTTTGGAGATAGGAACAAGAACACTGTTTGTCCAAGCATCAGGTAATACTCCTTCACTTAAACTACTCCTGTAAAACACTAAAAGTGGATTTAACATACAGTACAGTATATACAATGTACTTTTGATTAACTTTTTATGAAACCAAGGAATTATTACAAAATTAGCAATGCTTTAGTCTTGATTTCTTTCTTTTTTTTATCAGGCACAGTTAGCTGAGGTGGGCTGGGTGACGTTGCTGTATGTATCCTCAGCTACAGTTGCGTTTACTGGATTTTGTGTAGTACAACAGCTGGTGTATGTTCTCAGAGGCCAGACAGCTTATGAATATAACAAAGTAAGTAGATTTGGCAGGACCCAGTGCATGCATGTAATTTTGAGAGCCTTAAGTTTATGATAGAAGAATAACGTGAGGGATTATGTAGAGTTGGTTGAATACAATATATCAATGCAGTACATATTGACAGGTGCATTTTTAAGTTACATATGGGCTTATATTTTGATCCTGATTCAAGGGGTCACATATATGATCGCCCATGCTAAGACACAGTCAGTTGTGCACATTTCCTATCACTTGTTATCTTTGTTCACCTAGCAGTAAATAAGTACCCAGGAGTTAAGCAAAAAGAAACCACATAGACAGAGGCTATCCACAATATTGTTGGTACCGTAATAACATTTGATTGATTTAGTTGGGGATTCAAACTCAGTCCTACAAAAGACAAGACTTATTTGAGGAAACAAACCGGGATCCTCACAGGGGTTTCTGAAGTACAGTACCTGTACATTACTCAACTGAGGCTTTAAACCTTCAGTGGAGCACTGTTATGGCATCTAGTAGCATTCGTCCCCTTCATTCATGTCCATATAAGATGTAATCCACAATGTAATGGGTAATAACATTTCATTCACCTAGATTGTCAGGGATTTGAACCCGAGCCTGAAAAATGAGGCACATTAACTGTGTCACACTTTACAGAACATCACTTGCTAATCAAGTTGCTAAGCACTGCCTGGTACTGATTTGACTTGAAAGTAGCCATCCCAGATGCAGTAACACACTAACATCAGAGGAAATATCTCTGGTGGTTATTGGTCTTTCTCACTGGGCATCAGAGAAGAGAACGCTGAAACATTGCCAAAGTGGATCAGTAAAATCAGAAACACACAATTGAGCAGAAATCATGTGGGATCAGAGATCTACCCACTATTGGTAGGTACATAACAAAAATAATGAGACAGGCATCTAAGACCCCACAACCTCCCTCCCAAATAATGTTTGGCATCACCAAATCCCTGGTCACCACCAGGTAGCAACTTGATTTGATCAAGAACCCAGAAAAGGCAACTTTTTGCCTTTTTTATTTATGTAAAAATAGAGTTTAAAAATGTTCTATAGAACAAATCCTTATGTTGGACAATTCCCTAAAGATAGCCATTACTTATCTTAATAGACATTAGTTTGTCTTCGGCAGGATACTAGAAAGCTGTTCTTGTTCTAATCAGGCAAGAGAGTGAGGTGCTTGCCTTTTTCTGGGTTCTTGATCAAATCAAGATGCTACCTGGTGGTGACCAGGGATTTGGTGATGCCAAACATTATTTGGGAGGGAGGTTGTGGGGTCTTAGATGCCTGTCTCATTATTTTTGTTATGTACCTACCAATAGTGGGTAGATCTCTGATTCCACATGATTTCTGCTCAATTGAGGGGGCAAGGCAATTCGCAGTGATTCTTTGTTCGCTGTGTGCCAAGACAGTTGTTAGGAGCTTGGTGTGTTCATTATGACCTAAGCTCAAAGAAGCTACTGATAGAGCTAGACCCAAAACAATATAAATATGCAATGAAATAGATACATATGATGAAATAAAGTATTAAAGCTTTAATATAAACAGTGTCACACAAATGTTGGAAATTATATTTTGCAAAATGAGATGTGTTACAAGCAAATTTGAAATGTGTAATGTATATTTTGAGTTTGAAATTTTAGCTTGCATGCATTTTAAATTGGGTTTCTCTTTTATTTATTTTTTCATATTATAGGGTCTGCTCATGGTACACCGATCAGCATTTCACAACTTTCTTCACGTGTTTGGCCGATATTGGATTCTTCACATTCTGATTCCCTTTCCACGGCGACACACTGTTACTGATCCTCGAAGCTTTCTCAAAATTGTTTGAGAAAGAAAGACAAAAATTGTGAGCGTAGAAGTGTGAGCAGCTTATTAAGGTTTCTCTGAGGTTTCATCTGGCTGTTGTAGAAGCACATTACCAAATATTCAGAAAACCTTAGTTTTGAGGTATTTGAAATCAAATAATAATACCTCTAGTTCTGCTGAATGATGCCGAGTTAGAAAGTCTATGGAGTTTTTAATTAAAACAGTGTCTTAAGCAGGTAAGCTTAGATACAAATTATTTATTTGGTCTATTTACAAAAAATAATCCTCTCAAAACACCCATGCTAGCATTTTTCTGGCACTGATTGATTGAGAGTATCTTCCCTCCATAATGATCTTCCATATAATCTTGGCAGCTGGAAATATATAAACATTAGTGTCTTTATTATTGTTTTTGTATTCTTTAAGCAGGATATTTGTTGTGTATTGATTAGGGATTCAAATTATTTACATTTTTATTACAACAGATGTTAAGGTGAATATTAGTGATCCTTGGAAACAGTGTACACATTAATATGAATTAGTGAGCCATTATCAAAAAGGAAGATTAATGTACTGTATTCTTGTAGTCATATTTTCTTAAAAATGCCCTATACCTGTATATCAATGTTACACATATCATAATGTTAATCAAGGTCTTTGAAGTTAATTTTCAAAGGTATTTTAGTTTACTTTGCTAGTTTAAATATTAATGACTTCGGAAAAGTGTGAGAACATTCATGTCATCTCAGTGAAGTGCACTGAGCCTGTTTTCATACATGAGAGGATGTTTGTGTTGTCCACCTTGAGACTTCTAGAAATGTGCTTATAAGATGGCTACTAAATATTTCAAAATTTATTTTAAAATTAACTGCACTGTGCAAAAAAAATTAATATCACTGAAACATTTTTAAATATTACTGTTAATAAGACTTGTCTTTTGGCTTCCAATTTTTTACATTTTGAGGAACTGTGGAACCATGAGCTACCTAGGCAACACAAATGCATTGTACTGAGGAAAAGAATTAGCATACAAATGTAGTCAACAGTATTGCTTACTCCTTTTTTTTATGCTTTTTATGGGTACTCCAGTTACTCAATTATGCTTTTATGACTGCTCAGATTACTCATTTGAACTATTATGGGTGCTCATATTACTCATTTGAACTATTATGGGGGCTTACATTTGAGTCTTTATGGGTACTCAACCCCCAGAATACTAGAATGTCCCAAGAAATCAGAGAAGCTTATTACAGTACTCAGTGCTACTAAAATAATACCAAAATGTCTCCTTTATTATCATCTGTGAAAGATATGTAGATAATCCCAATGATAGTTTATATTTTAATCATATTAAATAAGTTGTTTGTGTACATTCCCAAGAGAGATGATATTTTTCATTAGTTAGGGGAGGTTATCTTTAATTAAAAAGTACCCTGTATATGATTTTATTATAAAAAAGGTGAAATGTAGAAGTTTACAACTGGTTTAAGCTTACAAATAAGTAATGTCCAACTTTCTATAGGCTTTATTTGGGGAATTGTTTATAAGAAAATTAAGAAGAATGCAGGAGTGTTTGGTGAATTAAAGAACTTTTTGGTGTCCAGGTGGTTCTGGTGTTCAGAAGGTTCTGTTGTCCAGGAGGTTCTGACATCCAGGAGGTTCTGGTGTCCAGAAGGTTTTGGTGCCCAAGAGGTTGTTCTCCAAAACCTTCTGGCATCCAGGTTCTGGTGTCCAGAAGGTTCTGTTGTCCAGGAGGGTCTGGCATCCAGGAGGTTCTGGTGCCCAGGAGGGTCTGGCATCCAGGAGGTTCTGGCATCCAGGAGGTTCTGGCGTCCAGGAGGGTCTGGCATCCAGGAGGTTCTGGTGCCCAGGAGGGTCTGGCATCCAGGAGGTTCTGGCATCCAGGAGGTTCTGGCGTCCAGGAGGTTCTGGCATCCAGGAGGTTCTGGCATCCAGGAGGTTCTGGCGTCCAGGAGGTTCTGGCGTCCAGGAGGTTCTGGCGTCCAGGAGGTTCTGGCGTCCAGGAGGTTCTGGCGTCCAGGAGGGCGTTTCTGGCGTCCAGGAGGTTCTGGCGTCCAGGAGGTTCTGGCGTCCAGGAGGTTCTGGCGTCCAGGAGGTTCTGGCGTCCAGGAGGTTCTGGCGTCCAGGAGGTTCTGGCGTCCAGGAGGTTCTGGCGTCCAGGAGGTTCTGGCGTCCAGGAGGTTCTGGCGTCCAGGAGGTTCTGGCGTCCAGGAGGTTCGAGCGTCCAGGAGGTTTTGGTGCCCAGGAGGTTCTGTTCTCCAGGAGGTTCTGTTCTCCAGGAGGTTTTGATGTTCAGGAGGTCCTGGTGTCCAGGAGTTTTTCATTACCCCAGAGTAACCTTTAATGGTACAGGTATTAGATCTTTTCAGTCTGATGGTCTGCCAGAACGTTTATAAAGAAAATGTTAACTTGAGCTTGATTTCCTGCTATATACTTCAGAATAGTAATTATAATGTACAGAAACATTTGTTACAGTTGTTGCTCTCCATTAGTGTGGTTATTTTATATAGCTGACAGTTTAGGATCAAGTGTAGGGCAAATATCAATATCCAGCATATCATCAACTATTACAGGGGTCAGAAGTCGTGTCCAGTAGGAATACTACAACAATAGCTAACATAAAGTGAAGTTAATTGATTATTCTCAGACACATCATAAAAATTAGAGGTGAAAGAGAAAAGTGCTTAATTTGTAGGTGTAAATTATTAAAACTGTGAGATGAATAATATCTTCAATGCTTAATTAATTATTGCATTAGTCTAAGCAATGCAAGAGTTCAATGTATGATGTAAGTTTTAAATGTTGTATGGTTTACCATGCTTGCACAGTAGCTGGATCTTAGCAATATTAACTGTTAAATATATGGTATTGCTTTAATCAATACAATTAAAATTTGTTGGTATTCAATGGTACATTGATACGTCTCAACACTCCTTCGATGTAACTCCTATGATGACATTTATATTTTAATCTTCAATTTCTTTCCCGTAACTTGAACTGAATTGTTTTTATTAAAGAACTTTAGTATGCAAAATCAATTAACTGTACTATATACAGTGGTACCTTGGAATACGAGTGTCCCTGTATACGAGTTTTTCGGAATACAAGCAGGATTTGCTTGGAAAATTTACTTCGGAATACGAGCGTTGCCTCGGAAGACGAGGGTGTTGATACGCGTACAGGCCGACTAGCGCGTGGTGGCACGGCGATCCCGCCTCAGTTTACCAGTGCCTCGCGCCCAGTGACTATCCCACCTGAATTCTTCACAAGGATTTTTTTTTTGTTGGATTTTTGGCTATTTGAGCATAAAAGTTGTTGTTATATATCTCGCCATGGGTGTCAAGAAAGCCAGTGGTAAGGTTCAATCTAAGAAAATAGTTGTGAGTAGAGGCAGTAGAGGATGTCCCTTCTTCATTAAGAAAATGTGCGAAGTATGGGAAGAACTGCAAAGTTTTGTTGAAGAAACTCGCCCAGATAGAGCTGTAGCAAGCCGTTGCATTGACCTTTTAAATGACATACTGTAGTAAAATGTGTCTTACTATAGAAAAGTGGTAAAATGTAGGGAAAAACAAGTGTCGTTAGACAGATTCTTAGTAAGACAAGCGAGTCCTAGTGGTATGCAGGCAAAACGTGCCAGAGTGTGCACACCAATGAAGTCCTCACTGCCTGATGTTATAATGGAAGGGGATTCCCTTCCAAACAGTAACACCTCTCCTCCTCCCTCCTCCTCACCATCTTCCATACGCCAACAGCAATCATTAGCAAGTGTAAGTAATAACTTGAACATACTTTTCTAGTGTAGATTTAGATGAATTAGGTATAAAATTTAGTTTGAAGTGAGGTTTTTGGGTAGTCAGGAATGGATTAATTCATTTCCCATTATTTCTTGTGGGGAAATTAGCTTCAGTTTAAGAGTTTTTGGATTACGAGTTCTCCTGGAACGGATTAAACTCTTAAACAGAGGTACCCCTGTATAAGAATGACATTTTACATTAATAATTTCTAAACAAATTATTTGATAAAACATTAACCCTTTAATTGTGCAACACATCATATGATGTGTTGAGTGACTTGCAGTAACTTGCGCTCCACATCATATGATGTTTTGGAGTACGCGCAAGATTTGAAAGGCCCGCGGGGTAGAGGGGGCCTCCATACGCTGCCCAGGGGCTATAGTAAACAGCCGCCATTTTGAAAAAAATGCAGCTCACGCTACCATCGCGTAGAAGGCCTCAGTTACCCAGCAGCCACCACGTCGAGTGCACGACCAAACGCTTCCTGGGCGCGCACCATGCAATCAATCACCCAAGAGCAAATAACCAGTGAATTATTTTCTGATGGTGAGGAAAGTAATTTTGATGACTCTGACATTGATAAAGACTACACACAATTGACCAATGATGATAGCACGGACAGTGAAAATGAGATACAGCCGCCTTCCATGGCGAGGCCTATACACTCACCCATGCCACCTCGCCCAAGTGTCTACTCCAATTCACCCTCAACCACACAGTTCCTGTGCTTATTTAGAGTCTGAAGATATTTTCGGTGACGAGTCAGAGGAAGGTGACTTTTTCTGGTTTTAGTGAAGTGGAGTCAGAACATAGTGTTACCGAGCCTGGTGCCAGTACCAGTGGTGTTACTGGGCGAGAATTTGTCACGTCAGCAGCGTCTCGCCCAGCCAAGTGCCACCGCATGGAACAACATGAGGCACCAAGAGCCTCATGTTCACGTGCTTCCACCTCACGTGCACGTAGCGGCCGTACTGTGTGTAGACGGGCTTCAGCTCCTGGTCCATGGTGTGCAACGCTTCCTCGCCGTGGTGCCCCTGTTGCGCCCCCTGCGTCTCGCAGGACACCAGGTGTACTAGTGTGGAGTGATGGTGCTGGTTTTAATCCTCGAATTCCTGCCTTTGACAATAAAGACGTTGGGATTACAGAGCTTTCCCCTGATAATGGAGAGGATATGAGTGAATTGGATTATTTTACAGCATTCTATGATGAGCCGCTCATGGAATATATTGTACACCAAACAAACTTTCATGCGGCTCATCTCATTAGAAGAGAGATAACAGAATGTTCACGATTGCAATGTTGGAAAACCACCAATGTAGGTGAAATGTATGTGTTTTTAGCAATATGTATGTTGATGAAGCACTGTGTCAAACATGCTATCACAGATTACTGGAGCAAAGATCTGACTATTCCAACACCTTTCTTCGGGAAATATATGTCCCGAGACAGATTTCAGATACTCCTCAGGTGTCTGCATTTTGCAAGTAATGAGGACCGGACAGAGGATGATAGACTTTGGGAAGTCAGGCACTATATGAATGAAGTGATTGAAAAATTCAGAGATTTTTACGTACCAGCACAGAAGCTGATGATTGACGAATCCCTTGTACTTTTCAAAGGACGTGTTTCATTCAAGCAGTATATTCCCTCCAAACGAAACAGATTTGGATTGAAATGCTTTGTACTGTGTGACTGTGAAACAGGATACGTGTTACACATGATTCTGTATTCAGCTAGCGATGTAGACATTCCCGGTAACGACGAACATGGTTTCTCGGGTAGTGTGGTGAAGTCACTGATGGCACCATGGATGAACAAGGGCCACATCTTATACACAGATAATTACTATACAAGTCCATTGCTAACTATCTTGAGGTTATCTTGAGATGATTTTGAGGCTTTTTAGTGTCCCCGCGGCCCGGTCCTCGACCAGGCCTCCACCCCCAGGAAGCAGCCGGTGACAGCTGACTAACACCCAGGTACCTATTTTACTGCTAGGTAACAGGTAGGTGCTAGAAACAGTAGCTACGTTCTTGATTGAAAATAGAACCTGATTGGTTGGCACAGTAAAGGCACGAAGAAGGGAAATGCCAGTGTTTGACAGTGGACTTGCAGTTGGTGAGTGCCAGCTACGGAAATGTGATCAAATACTCTCGGTACGGTGGAAAGACAAGAGAGAAGTGAACCTGCTGACAACCGTTCATGAGGGTAAACAGTGGCAAGGTGCACCGTGTAACGAAAGAACGAGTATATAAGCCAGATTGTGTTCTTGACTACAATATCAACATGCGTTTGATTGACAAGGCTGACATGATGGTTGGCACTATTGAGTGTGTGCGGAAAACATTGAAATGGACGAAAAAAGTGTTTTTCCATCTTGTTGACATGAGCATGTTGAACTGCTATAATATGTATCTGGTGAAAACTGGAAGTAAACCTACTTTCCGTGCATTTGCTTTTACACTTGCAATACAGTTACTGTATTAGCAAAGTTTGGTAAAGATGTCCCTGGCTTACAAAGACCAATCATGAACCCAGTG